TTGTATAATGACAATAAAGGCTTTCTATGCTAACAGCATGCTGACAATAACAACAACATGATAAAAATCAAAGCAGACGTGAACACTTGTTTTGTATCAGTGTTGAATCACTGAATATTTCAATCATTGTCTTTCTCACATTTTTATGTTCTCTTTTATTCTATTTTCATTTGTAAATCACTTTGAAAGCCTGTTTCTTTTTTTAATCCTTAATTTTAGACTTTGGACAGCAACAATATTACAGAGCATTGCCACAGGAAAACAATTGAGTTTCTTTTGCAGTCCTCATCTTTTTGAATTTAAATATAAAGAACTAAATACAGCATGGGAGAGATAGTGTGCATTCAAAATGAATGAAAAATATCAGAAAAATACTTTAGAGAGAGAATAAATAGGCAAATAATTAAATAAATAAAAGATTAAACTGAATTAAATGAGGTTCACCAAGACAAGACAACATCACAAGATCCCAGGTTGGTTACCTTAACAATATCTGTCCGCAAAGGTGTCACATATTTAACCCACTTGGACCAGAGTTTAACAAAAACTTCCTTCTGTATTGTAATCCTGTTTTAAAAATTTAAATACAAATAATTGTATTATTATTTGTATTATGGAAATAAATCTTCCAAATATGAGCAAATACTTAAATGGACTGATCAGAGATCATTCCGTTCAAAATCTTTGCAATATCACTCAAATTATTCTGATAAATGAGATTTAAGAATTTTGTTTCTGGTTCCAAAAAGAAAGATGAACATAAATAGTTTTCATCCGGTTCAGACTGAGCTTTGCCGTAATCCTCAGTATGATCATATACACACTTGACTATGTGTATTTCATATGTTTGTCTTACCGTAGTGCAACTTCACTATGAAGGGATGATTGACTTCCACTAAAATGTCTCGTTCCATCTTAGTGCGAACTCTGTCCCTGACTGGTGAGACAAAAACAGGAAGCGACAGTGAGAGAAAGAAATTCAACACTGAGGACAGGACATGCTGCACTGTTGCGTTTTGTGCCGATGTGGATTGAAATTAAAGTAGCATCACCTTTCAACGATGCCTTTTTTAGAACTTTCATTGCATATAACTGCCCAGCATCTGGACCTATGATCTTCCTGACAAGGAAAACCTGAGACAACAGAAGACAGTAATGAGGATACAAACGTTCATGATTTCATTGACAGAAACATTTCCACTGGACTGCCACATTTCCTCACCTTGCCAAACGAGCCCTGGCCGAGGACTTTTAGCAGTTCAAACTGAGATGGATCTGCTTTCTCACAGCCTTCTTTCACATGGTGGGTGATAGGAATCTCCTTATATGTCCCTTCATCCTACACAAACAGTGTCAGCATGAGACAGTGTCACAACACTGCGAGTTTGTAATTCCACACAGACATGCGCACAGAAGACAACAAAGTGTTACTTACACAGTGTGAGAAAGACTCGTCCTCCTCCATAGGCTCGTCCATGATCTGATGCCCATTGACCTGCAGCAAAACCAACAATTGTCATCAGAGGAGTCAGAAACAGCAAAGACTTTCACAGAGCATGTTGAGCTCTGTTTTCAGCTGAGCAAGAGTGTGACTGCAGCTGCAGCACGCCCACGTGTATGATGGACGATTTATCAGATGAAATCAATGAGTCACATGCAATAACAGTGCATTTTCACTTTCCCAACTGGAGCTCTGTTGTCAAACAGTATGGAGTCCATACTTTAAGCCTGTCCAGCAGTCCAGCTCTCCTCCTGTCCCTATAAAGCCCCTCATTATTAGCATTCTAGCGTAATCCCTGGCTAGAGCAAAAACAACATGTCTGACATGCTCTGAGAGGCTGATGATTGCAGGAGCTGCCGTCAGCATTCAGTCTCTTGAGGACATACCATAGTCTAGCCTTTTGAGGACATCAGGACGATGGTGCTGGCAGGAAGATAAATAAACTACAGATAGACAGGCTTTCCTCTAAGCAGAGTCATGTTTTAGGCCTCACTTTTGTTTGTTTAATAGTCTACACTGTGAGCAGAGGAATAGCAGATATAACTCAGCATCTGCCATTAAAACAAACAAAAACAAAAAAAAAGCTGATCACAATAACACTATCCAGGTCTGCATATTTCAGATCTGTGCTGAAGCTCTGCCTGCATGATGTATTCAGACCAGTGTGTTTGTGTGTTGAATTCCATCAAGCCTCTGAAGGGGGGGGGGGGGGATGAGTCATAGCGCTACGCAAACCCACTCAGTGGGTGGAGCCACCATCATACACTCACACACATCCTCAGAAGAGAGGCCAGAAAACATCATCCTGACATCTTCACACTGAAGATTACCATTAAAAACATAAACATTCTACACAGTCCAGATTTACACTTGAAAGCAAGACTATAAAAGAAACAAAAAAGTCTTAAATGCAAAGCATCCTGCATCTATGAAGCTTAACTTTCAGGCCATCCACAGCCAGGGCAGTGTTTGTGTCATAATTCACACATACATTTTCACTCCCACCTTTGCTGTGGCTCATCACGGCTTGTAACTGAGTGCAGCCTACACTACAGCACAACCAGGCGAGCCTTTTTCAGCCATTTAAGAAGATGTCTGACAGTCACGCATAACATCGCTTCACAATCCCTGATACTGACATACAATACTCTGTTTTAATACAATCTTCAATACTGGTACAACAAAAAGTAAACATCCTCACTAGAACAGTTTAAGATGCAAGACAAAGAAGAAACAGTCAGTGTTCAATGGATTCAAGTGCTTATATGTAGAAGAACACAAAAACATTTTGAATAATAGTAGTGTTTAGGGTGTAGGCTTACTAGTTTTTTAATTCTCCAATATAAAGTGAATTGCTGCATTTGCTTAGGAAACAGATATTGGATGTTGTAACAGTGTCATCAAAATGTTTGCAGGAGGAGAATGTACTTCTTCCAACAAAGGTCTTGGTCAGCAGTGTTGTTGCTTTAGCTTTCTGCAGACAGACAGTTTGTACTGTAGGTGTGAAAGACTGCAAAGACTCCCAGAGATGGAGAGGTTTAAGATGTCAGTCCGGGTTAGCTGCACATGGAAAAACATCTCAATATAACAGGGGCAAAGCCTACTATCTATTATGAGCCTGTAGCTGTAGGGTTTATCAACTTTATTCATCTCATGCTTTTAATATAACATCACCCCCTGCTTGTTTCTTTTTAACAAATCATGTAGTTTTTAAAACGAAGGAAATATCTAGAAAATGTAGAGTAACACCAAATCACTGACAACAAGCTAACTCTCAGTAGTGAAGAGCTCTGATGAAGTTCAGTGTTTAACCATGAATATATCAAAACAGTCATCAAATGTGAAGTCATTTAGATTCATATTAGTACTTTACTTCTATAAACGCAACGATGGAGGTTGACTAAAAACTTGTGTCCCAAGTTTCAAGCCTTCAAGCTGTCAGCTAGCAGGCGAGCTACATGCTAATGCTACACGCGCTAAGCTAGCTCTGAAGCAAACTCCTCTTGAGAAGTGTAAATAAAAACAAAAGCAAAGTGGATGTCTTGTTACATTTGGAAATCTGGCCTGGGCCTCCAGGTGGAGAAAAACGTAAAAGTGGCGAAAGGCTGGGCGAAAGGGTAAAATGTAGTGCATCCGGAGAGTGCAACAAAAATAAACATCTTACCAGCTGTTAGCATTAGCTAGCGGGTTAGCATGCATCACGGTGCGCTGCGGGTCGTGACGCGAGTTAAAAGCTGGACAGGGCAACTTAACGGAACAGCTCAAACTAAAACCACTTAAACAAATGACAACGCAGAACCCCAATGTATCAACTCACCTCACTACTAACGCTGTTTACCTCCATCTTGTGCCAGGATTCCTAGTCCAAGTCTACGGCATCGTAGTCCACCTAAACCCCCGCTCCACGTCTCATGTCTCCCCGTCTGTGGAAGTCCGGCTCTTCTGCTTTGATGATCAGATACCAGGCTGCGTGGCTGGGTGGGATCAGGGGGGTCGGTGCGGGGGAAAAGCTGATCTCGATGACTGGACCACACGCTCGCCGATAAGCACCGCTACCCTGCCATGGATGCGAATATGGCGGCTATCGTGGTACCTGATCGTCATGAATGAGAGTTTATTGACGTAGTCATGACGCAATTCAGTTAAGGATTTCCCCCCGTCCAAACCAAAGCGATGTAGAGAGGAGGGAGAGAGGACTTGATGCTGAATGGCATGGTGCGTGTGCCGTGTGACAAGACAAGCATCCGGGTGACAGACCCCCTTTGGCTTGCGACAAATGGTCCCTGCAATTTCAGGCACACAGGGAGTTGGATTTATTGTTGACGCAGGTTAAATTATGGAGCAAAAACAAGCCTCCTGTTGTGGTGAAGTGTAAATCTAAGCCTTTGATCTTAAGGTTGTAAATTAAATGTTTTAAAGCCAATGTTTCATAAGCCTGTCCATCCCTTGTCCAAGTGGAAATAAGAGGCTTAGAGCTCATCCACTTTCTCTCTCGCTCTCTCTCTCTCTCTCTCTCTCTCTCCCACACAGGCAGTCTTTGTGTAGTGAGGTAATGGAGCCAGCTAGGTGTCCAGTCTGCATACATAGTAGCAGATTTTTAAGACGTAATTGTAAATCTGATTTGCCAGCTACTTCTAATCTCAAGGAAATGGACATTATGATCATATTGCAATGCTGGACTTGAACTGATGTGTGTCCCAATTCATTTAAAATCTTTTACCTCCTGAATAACAACTAACCCACTAAGTGCCCTTCCAAGTATTGTGCACTAATCATGTTTGGATTGTATGAATGAGATCTGTACAATTCAATTTGGGTCCAGTAGTGTGAGCAGTTTTCTTTTACAGAAATGTATCTACAACTTTGCCTGCAACTGTTAAAGTCTACAAACGATCAGCAACCTCTGGATGGCTCTAGTGTTTCTGGACTTCTGTTGAAGCTGAAGGAAAGCATCACATGACAAAGGTATCTTTCTGACATCAACACACTGCCACACAGGTAAGTTAGAGGTCATTTATTGTTCTCTCTGGACTTGTCCAGAACAAGGCGAATGATATGCAGTAAAAAAGGCATTTGTCAGCCCAACAGTCATAGTGAAGCATCAATCCACAGGCACTGGGCAAAGAGCATGAGTGTTACAGAGAGTTTTTCTGTAAATGCAAGACCATAAAGTCTTTATTTTGTGAAACCAGCTTCTTTGTGAAGCTGGTCTTCTGCAGCTTCACAAAGAAGCATCTGTAGAGTCTATGTGAGTTAATATACGGGAGACAGTCACTTTTGTTCCGGCACCTCTTCCTGTAGCTGCTCCTCTGATGCAGAGGGCTCAGTAACTTCTCGAGCTGTGTGATCCTCATTTTTAGTGACCAAAGGGACTTTTTCATAAGATGGTGTATGCTCCGTGTCGTTAGCACCAGCTGCCGGGGAGTCGTCATGGTCAACGGAGGCGTCTGGTGACACAGCAGCAGGTTGAGTTCCACTCTCCAAAGCCATGTCCCAGTCCTGGTCTGAAGGCTGAGGTAGACTGGCCATGAGTTCCTAAACAAATACAGCAGAACTGAGGTCAGAAACGTCCACAAATGTTGGCATTTCCCTTAAAGCTGATGTTCTGATGAATCATGTCAGTGAGTAAACATGAGCATGATTGTACCTTCTGTCTCTCCAGGTCATTATTTCTCACAGCACTGAGCAGGCTCTTGGTGAAGTTCGCAAGCTCCTCGTATCTTTGTTTTTGGTTCTCTAGCTCGATTTCTAAGAACTGTACTTCTTCATGCTGAAATGGAGCAATTCAAAGAGGTAGAAAGTTAATGACAGTTAAATGCTTTTATTGTGCTGGCAGCTCAGCCAATCAGGTGGAGCCTTGTGTCTTTTTTTTCACCTTGAATTCCAGCAGGCTCTGCATTTGATCAAGGTCTGAAGCCACTAATTCACCATCATAATGATCCTCTTCTTCTTCGTCCTCATCGATCACTTCAATCTTCTGTTGACAAACACACACATTGAATTTAATTTTCACGTTAACAAACATAAAGACATGAAAATATAATGAGATTACTCATGCAGGTTTAATGGTGAAGTATGGCTTCCATCTGGGATTTATTAGTGATGTTCAATCTTTTAATGTACTATATACTGTATAGAAATAGATAGAAAACAACTTGGCCTGAAATGAAGAGATAAACACATCATGGTAAAAAGTTTTATTTATCATAATGTAAAAAATGTAGTGTTTTCTGGATTTCATTTACCCATGTCTACTTAAACTGAATGTGATGAAAATCTAGAGCCCACACCAGCTTTGGCAAAACAGCAGCCTGTTGAACACATGGTGTTGAACATGTGCCTGTGACGACCAGGAAGTCTAACCTTCACATCTAAAGCCTTAGAGACACTAACATAGAAAGCCATAAATTATTATGTTTCTTATAAAAACGTTTTTTTACCAGACTTCTGACTTGACTTAGCAGACAAGTTTAGGGTGAACTAATGACATGAAGGATGGCTCTGTTCTATTCGACTGTCCAAGTGAGCACAAGATTGTGTCAATGTACCACGGTGCTCAAAACCAGGACCCTGAAACCAACACGATTGAATGAATTGAAGTTTTTATTTATCGTATTACTACTTAAAACTGGGATGAGATGTGAAAATGTCTTCTATTAAAAGGTCCAATTAAAAACACATCATTAGGAAGCTGTGGTGTAAAACTACAAAAAGTAAAATATTTGATTGATGAAGAAGCACATCTTGTGTAGCACAGCTACAAAATGATACTAACTACTATGATTGAATAAACAAATGAGCTAATATCCATTGTGTTACACCTGAATATGACGGTTTTTAAATCGAATACGGCTGTGGTGCACTATCCAAGAAATACTGAATTACCACATTGTTGGCTAGAGGAGCAGCAGTGGACAAATCTGTTCCATCTTCTCCGTCTCGCCATTGTGAGTCAATGGTGCCATCTAGGAGCCAGAACATGGTATTAATGTGAACACACACACACACACACACACACACACACACACACACACACACACACACACACACACACACACACACACACACACACACACACACACACACACACACACACACACACACACACACACACACACACACACACACACACACACACACACACACACACACACACACACACACACACACACACACACACACACACACACACACACACACACACACACACACACACACACACACACGTTGTACAATCAGGCTAACCTTCAGACAGGCAGATAGATCCACCATCATTCAAGTCATCTCCAAGTTCAGGTGTTCTGAGACGCTCCTCGTCAAGGCTGAGTGCTCCTGGAGATTCGTTTCCCGGGGATGAGGTGAATACAGCAGGCCCACCTTTGGGTGGTGGGATTTCAATACCCATCAGACGGTACTTCCTTCGTCTGTTACTGATCCATGTCTACCAGGGAAAAAAAGGGGGGGGGGGAGCATGTTATTGACTTGGAAAAATGATGATTCAAAGATACCATTTTTTTTAACTTAAAATTGCCATACAAGGAAAGTGAAGATTACTAGCATGGTCACATAAAAGCAAAAACATTTGCCTCCTATTATTCCCCTTTGTGCAAGCAAAAGGAGCAATGGGCAGAAATTATTAATAACACAAACTAATTCCTATAAATAATCACTGTGATAATATATCCTAATAAGGGAGATGACAGTGCGTCATGTGTGTTTCAAGCCTGGGACTATATTTAGTCCGACAGCATTCCTGCTGTGACTCTGATATATAACTTCATGACTTTTACACAACTTTGAGCTCGTACTTAAGAAAACTTGTGTGACCTAGAAAACGTACTCTTTCCTGTTTTCTTTCCCGCACACTAAAGTTCAAACAAGTCAAATAGTCTTGTTTTCACTAAATGTCAAAGACAAGAGGCCAGACACAATGAATAAGGTTAAAAAATGTTCAGACAGCAGAGCGTCTCTCTACTTTAAATGAAACCTCAGCAGAAAGATACAAAGAGGGAGTTTTCAAGGTTTTCTCTGTGCAAACACATGCAATCTTGTAGTTTTGAAACCCTTCGATCGTTAGTTACCTTGACTATTTCAGTGTCTACATTGAGCTGGTTGGCTGCAGCGGTAATCTTTTCCCTGCAGACTGAGCCCAGGCTGGTCATGCCTCTGTCCCAGTAGCGCTTCAGTTGGATGAGGTCTCCATCACTGAACTGGGTCCGATCCTGCAACTGGTAACACAAACCTCTGTTTGAATTCCAAAAGTCCAAGCTAATGTTAATCCAACTATCTGTGTAACACACCAGTCCACTTCAGTGGGAATGTTTAGTTAACATACAGTTACCTTCTTATAAATTAAAATGGATTAGTAATTAAAAATTGTGTGTTAAAAGTACTGACTGTTCTCTTTCTGGAGTTGCTGATAACCCAGGGTGCAGCAGACACACCGACTGAAGTCTGCACACAAAGATAGTCACAGTCAGGTTAACGTTTAAATCCACTTTGAAGACAAGCAGCAGTAGCGCCAGAACCTCTCCTACCTGTGAGCTGGATTCCCCTGGAAGTGAGGTCTGTGCTGTGAGAGAGTAGCTGCCCTGAAGAGTTGTGTTGTTGTGAAGCAGTGCCGTCCTGGAGCCGGTCACAGGGGGGGTGTGTCCTCCTCTCACCACTGACACCTCCGCCCTGGTCGGACTGGTCGACGTCCGCTCCCTGTGGATGTGTGTCTGAGCTGCCATATTTGCCAACTCCTCTTCCCTTTGCCACTCATCTTCTTCATCTCCAGTTTCCATGGCAATAGAGAAGTTATGACTGTTGTCCAGGGAAATGGATGCTGACCTCTGAGGCTCCTGACCTTTAGGAGTAGACACCTGACTTTGCTTATGTATTCCCCCCTCCCCTCTTTCTGACAAAGAGAAGACCTGCTGGATACGGGGTGAAGGTTCACAGGTGGAGCTAGAGTTCGGTACTGGGAGGGAGACGCGGGGCCTCTGAGGGGCAGGTAGCTGAGGTTGGGGGTTGGAGTGAGGTCTGGGCTGAGGCTTAATCTGGGACTGTGAGGAAGAGGACCATGGGCGAGTTTGCGCTGTACCGTACTGCCTAGTCCAGCTGTGAGGTACTACCCCAGCTCCGACACCAACACCTGCCTCCCCAAGGGATAAAGTCCCCTTCCTGGCTGCAGTGTAGACTAAAGGCCCTGAGGCAGATGTGAGGGAAGGGAGATTTTGAGACAGTGAGACCAGCTTGGAGTGTAGGGGTGCATTAGTGGAGCTGCTCCTGCTCTGCAGTGCCTGCTTGATCAGAGAGGAGGACGTGTGTGCAGAAAGCTCAGAGTCTGAATCTGATGAGGAGGCTGTTGGTCTTGGTCTGGAGCGAGGGATGGAGTTGAGAGAGTAGATCCCTGTCAGTATGACGTCATTATTGTTGTTGTTGTTGTTGCTTCTGCTGCTTAGGGGCGAAGAAGAGGAAGGAGAGGAAGATGCTGCAGAGAAAGAAGGGAAGGTCGAGGATGGAGGGAGAAGGTGCAGACGGTTCTGGATGGTGCTCCTTGCTGCGGCCATTTCAGCAGGAAGCAGCGCCCTGGCAGCCAGGCTATGATTGGACAGAGCACCCCCAGCTAATGTGTGATTTGAGAGTAGTCCCCCAGCGAGTCCATGACTGGATAAGGAATGAGACATGCCTCCGTTCTGTTCTACCTTGGAGGCGAGCTTTCGCCGTTTGTTGCCAACCCATGTCTGTGGGGAGAAGGACAATCAGATCAGTGATATCACTTACAAACACTACAGGGAATACAAACTGTTGACTTCTTAAAGATGAAGAAAACAACAGGAAGACAATATAAAGGGATATTTCAATGATCTGCTTCAGAGTTTCATGGGAACCCCTTAATAATGTCCCACCCGTACTACACTGAAGTCCAACTTGGCCTCCTGAGCACACTGCAGTATTAGCTGAAAGCAAGCCTTGCTCTGATTGGTCATCCCATTGTCATAGTAACGTTCCAGGATCCTCTGCTGCTCGGCTGTAAACACGGACCGCAGGTTCATCTGCGAGAAGACCACAGAGATGAAAAACTGTAAACTTTGCAGCATTTATGCAACTTCCTGCCGTCTGCTTGTGCACTGCAATAAGGACGTTTAGGGGCCAGTTTAGATCCTTAAATGTACAACATTTAAACATTTAAACATTTTGTTATGCACAAGAAATTAGCAAAGGCACTATTCACACAATACTTAACAATAAAGACAGAGTCTAAAGATTAAAACTGCAGCATAGATAACATGTTTTATTTTCAATTAGTCAAAATTTAAACCACATCTTTGTTTTCCATCTCATGTTAAATGAAATAATCTTGATAAACTTACAGTCTGCAGACCGCGTCTTTGTGACCATGCATCCATTCTGCTACTAGAGGAGAGGGGGCTGCCATGCAGATCACAGCAAAACCTCCATGTCTCTAGATTGGCACAACTTTGACTGTACTCATCCTGTCCGGTTGACACAGTGCCGGGTCATGAGGCTGAGGAGAAAGCAGAGCAGAAACACTCAACTTCAGACGGTAAATAAAAAGGATCAAATAAATCTTCATCATCTTCACAGTATGTGCTCATCTTTGTACTAGAATTAACATCTGACTTAAAGCTGGAGAATTAATCGAGTTTTCATTTCAATTAGGGCTTCACACAATCATGAAAACAAGATAATCGAGATTCAACGATTACTGTGCCGTGTGCAGTGTTGTGCTCGTTTTGTCATGGGTGGTAAATGTTTCAAAATAAATGTTCTGGTTCTGCCTCTTTAAAAAGGAAGTTTTTTTTCTTGCCACTGTAATTTAACTAAATGTTGCTAAGTAATGTGCTCATGATGGATTAACATTGGGTCTTTGTAACATAATATAACAAGGAGTAAGGTATTTTACCTGCTCTTTTGTAGAGTGTCTTGAGGTAACATTTGTTATGAATTGCTGCTATAAAAATAAAGATTGATTGATAATAGGTTGTCCCTTGCACAAAAGTGTTCAATTTATTTTCAGAAAGTTATTTTCATTTGAGCCCTTGCATTGACCCTGATGTTATACATTTAAACTACAAATTATCACACTTATGGCAGAAGCTAACTATCATAATGTTTTGTTTACAGGTTGAGCAAATTAACTAAACTAAGCTACAACAACAACAACAACAAAAAACCCTCCTGCACACTTCAACATTTGAACTATTCAATGAGCACAGTTCAATGTATCACCACCTGTGAAATAAGTCAAATAACTTGCTTTATAGAACGAAATTAATTTTCATTTTCCAAAGTGCAAGACAAAATAGGAAAGGAGATGGAAAAAAAGACAGAACAATATGTAGCCTATCAGAGCTTCCATGGAAATATGTGTTTTGTTTGTAGACCGAGGAAGAGAGGGAGAAAGGAGAGAGAGAGTAGTCACAGGGGGACTCGCAGAGAGCTGTGTGAATCTTCGGTGAGTACATTTGAATTGTAACATTTCGAGGGTTTTCGAAACACACTGAAAATGTCACATACGGGAATGTTGTGCGACCAATAAGCATGCAGCGGGTTTATTTTGGAAGGCTGAGTCAGGCAGACTGCGCATGGCTACAGTCAATATGAAAACATTACGGAGAGAATTAGCGAACAAATTGTTGGCACGTCAGATTAACACGCCACCAAAGCAACAGCCGGGGGATAGGGAAACACAATTCTCTCACAGGAAGTGGGCCACATGCCATAACTCTACGAAAGCGTGCCAGAGAGTAAACAAACCGGGGTAAGCACTGCATCATCACAATGGCCATGCACACAGCTCATGGTAGCTTGCAGGCCCGAGCGGCCATAACACGGCTAGCCAGTTAGCAACCATTAGCATAGCTCTCCCTATGGATGGCTGCTGCTAAACTTTTCCTTTAAAATCTGGGATTTCCCGATCCTGGCACAGACATCCTGGCTGGCCATGCCTCCAAGCGGATATGTAGGAAACACACGGCTCGGGATTCCCTAAAGGTGAAAAGTGAAATCACGTCCCTTCTTACCATTGTTGATGTCAAAATCAGGCGAACGTTCAAATTCAGCAGATTTCTCCACCAGTCCCCTTTTGCTAGACAATGAAATCAGAACGTCCGATCATCAATTCTAATCATGATTGTGACGTGTTTGCAGACAGGAGCCAATGAGAGCTTGAGATCATCGCTGTGACATCTGAAGGGGGCTGAAAACTGAGCAGCGTGGTCCCGCCCACCATTGACTTTGTTCTGTGGCTTGCTGAGGGAGGAGGTCACAGACATGGAAGCAGACAAACTTTGAAAGGGAAATGGTTTGTTTCCTCATCATCTAAATGTGTCAAAGTATCCTTTGAAGGTCATTTTTACACAGAACTGTGATTGAATGTGAAGTTAGTAGCCTACAGAAAATGTTGCCTAAAGGAAATGTTTCAATTCACATCAGGCTTAAGTGCCACTAAAGTCTATATTTAAACACCCACAGTGTGTTAGATTTTCCACTTTAAGCAATTATAACAGTTATTATTAAACATGTTATTAGTGTATTTGTTATGTAAAATGATTAAGTTAAATTAAAATAAGCACATTTTTGGTTCACAATACATTCAGATATATTATATTAGAATTGGTAATACTGAATTCAACAAAGTCATTCAATTGAAAATGTACTGATGGGTTTGGGTTACTTTTATATCATAGAAGCCAACTCTTTTTTTTTTTAAAGATGGACAGTATCGAAGATGTTTTAGAAACTTAAGAGAATACTACTCAACTTTTCTAAATTGAACATTTTGCACTTTCACTTATTTAGAATCACTTACTCAGCCTACCGTGTGTTTACTGTCTTATAACTTATTTAAATTTTTTCTGCAGTTTGGTAAATGTTAGCACGAATACGAATTTTCATGAAATTCATTCATCTTGGTAACTTTGTGAAATGTATTATTCAAGTCTGTCTACCACCTGTTAGCACTCCTACTTTTGGGGGTCTGAAGCTGTAAACTTATATGGCTGAAACACCTAAATTGTAGCAGATCTTTATTTGTGTAAGAGCCAACCATATGTTGTCAACAACTGTTTGCTAGACAAAGAGTCTACATCTGTTACGTATACAAATCAGTGTCATGTCATCTTTATTGTTTTATAGTGATGTACCCAAATAGAAAGGAAGTTGTGGGTTGCACCTTTTAACAGAATATAAGCAGCACTGTGAACACTGTTACTTTGTCAGCAATTTGTAAGCATGCGTGTTTGGTGAAGTTGTCTGACCTCGGCCGATTAAATGGTGTTATAATCTACAGTCTGTTTCACGATTTCTTCATTGGATTTATACAGCAGAAACAACCCCCACCTAACAGCAAATTAATCTGTTTTAATTGTATCGCTCATTTGCTGCAATACACTTGATTTCTATATTTCTCTCATATTTGATGCATTGATGTGTTACCCTTACATTTGTACTGTGTTTAATAATCTTGCACTTTATTTAATTTCAGGATGAAAAAAGTTATTTTTATCTTATCTTATTTTGAATGCATACAAACAGAAAGTTACCAAGTGAAGAATTTGGCAACAAGTAAGCATACCTTGTGTGAAATGGGCGAGTAAATGATCTCTCCTCTTGAACCGGGACACAACAAATAATGCTCCATTTAAAAACTGCCTTGTCTGTGACCAGCTATCATTTTTAGTTTGAAGGACTTCTAAAACTGTTATTGAAATGCATCATTTCTGTTTGAGGGTTCATATTGGAGCTTTATCTGAACAATTAAACAAACATTCTGAGTCTGTTGTAAACAAATAAAGTTAGTTCAACTTTAACCACTGTGTTGTTTTCCCTGTTTTTTTTCACTGTGTGTGTTTGTTTGCTTTTTTCCATATATTTATTTCCTTCAGGTTTTAGTGCTAGATATTTAAAACTGAAGACAAGTAAACACCACTCACTGTACTTGACTTTAGAGATAAAACATCTCTGTCACTATGATCATTTTATGATGAAAACATTGATGAAGGTGATGATGGGTGAAGACATTGCCGCTTTCATGTATTTGTTCCTCTATCAATATATTGTTCTATCTCTGTGTTTCCACCTTTTTCTCTCTACATCTATCTTTTTTTGTGTGAAGTAAGCCTAATTTGGGTGGTGGTGTGGATGGGGGTGCTGCTGTAATCCATGACGTCACCTGTGTCCCAGGTGCACAGCAGGGGGCGCTGTTCCTCAGCTGAGCTCATGCATCGAGCAGCAGCAGCCTGACAACTGATGCTGATTTCTTCATCCACAGATTGTGAACTTAAAAAAACAGCTGACATCCGCACACGCTGCCAGCAGGAACAAGCATACAGTCTACAACACTCCGACCCTTGTGCAAAGACAAAAATGAAGGTACCACATAGACCCTTACATGATGCATTATGGTGTTTTGAGTCATGCTTACAGTCCATTTAAGGGTTATCAATTTATATTTGCATGAATCCTGTACGTGTGTGAGAGATGGGGGGGGGGGGGTGAGATCCTCCCTACATGGAATGCGTTGCACCATTCCCTGGTCTGTATTATGAGTGGTGGCCCTTGTGATGCTGCAGCGAGGCGGGCGGGAGGAATAGAGGGGAGGGGAGGGGTCGCTCCATCCCCTCGCGCTCACCGAGTCCACTTCTCACAGCGCGCGGGCTGCTGGCGGGAAGGCACGAGAAAGCGAGAGAGAGAGGGAAAGAGCAGGGAGGGAGGGAAAGGAGAGAGAGAGAGAAGAGAGTGTGTGTGCGTGTCTCTGTATGTGCGCGTGGATTGCACCACCGCATCCCGTTCACCGTTTCTGCAGGCGGCCATGCTCTGATGGAGAGAATAAAACTGACAAGCCTTTCTTTTTCCTTAGATTTACCCACCGCCGTATCATTCCAGATGTGACTGACAAGTCGTTTTATGTCGCCCGCATTGAGTCCTGTGCTGTTCACCTCAGAGAGACTGTGACACCATGGCTTTGGTTATGGAACCTATAAGTAAATGGACACCAAAGCAAGTGCTGGACTGGATGAAAGGTAAATTTTGGATTCTTTCATTGCATCAGGCTGGTAATGCTCGTGAGTGGGGATGATGATGGTGATGATGATGATGGTGGTGAGCAGCAGAGGGCCACACTGTGTGCATGTGTGCTCTCCGTATCCTAACCTGCAGGCTGACGTGTGATGTAGCCGCTGTATGTGACCACTGTGAGGCTAATTAAAGTCATTAAAGTAGTGTGAATGCGTTGGAGCGGGTGCAGTGAATGGATGTCCCCAAGAGGCAGGGATTTAAGGCTCAGCATTCTGATATCTGGCTTTGCCTGGGAGCCAAGCCTAAAGGCTGCTGCTGCTGCTGCTCCATCAGCAGCAGCACTAGCTCATCAATGAATGTGGAAGATATGTCATCGTCTCTTTCACTCACTGGCACATGCTCTGAACCCATAGCATAACTAACTGTGTGTGTGCGTATGTCCACGTGCATGTGCGCGTGCCTTTATGATTAATGTAGTTAACTGCATGCACCCATACCCCCAACCCCCCAATCCCCAATGCCAGGCGTACAGTCAGTTTCAGCACCCTGGACAGCGCAATGCCGCCTGCCATATAAGGCAAGCGCACCGATCACGCTCGCTTTTCTTTTTTTTTTTTTTTTTTCTGTTGCTCGCTTTGCTGGCGAGAGGTACGTCCCTTCCAACAGACAGTATGAATGAGTAATCACTAATCATGCGTGTATCAGTGTGTGTGTGTGTGTGTGTGTGTGTGTGTGTGTGTGTGTGTGGTGGGAGCTGTTCTCACACACTCTGGTCAGCTTCTGAGCTGTGAGACAAACTGTGGTATTCCGATTGACAGACAATGAAAATGGGGAGGGAGGGTGCCCGCAATCCTTTACTTGAGAGAATGACTTAATCACTAGTGTGTGACGACTCAAACCCACAATGCAATGCTCCTATATGGACACTTGTCATATACTCACTTGTCATGTGCAGATACTCTCGTATCTGCACACGATGATAAAGAATATATGAGCTATCCTATGAATTTCCCAAAACTCCTCATTCCTACATGTGTGCTTTAAGGCTTTATCCTTCATGATGGCTGAGCATAATGTGTTCGATTAGAAGTCATGGTCGTTTGATAGATCCTTATGGGACCTTGTGACGGAGTATTTGGGCTGCTTTACGTTGAGTGATTACGATGATGTTCCTGTTTTGTATGATTGCTCTCCTCAGCTACTGTAAGCAGCCGATGGAGTCACGTCTTCACCCTCTGATCTGTGGAGTGTTCATGCTGTTCTGTGCTGTTCATTTAGAGAGACTGGTTCAGATTTGAATGGAGATTTGATTGGTGACAGGCCAAACTGAGTATAATAGTTTTGCAACATGTAGTGCCACACATAGTGTAACTATTGGCAACGCAGTTTATACCTGAAGATCTCTACAAGCAGCTATGTTAACAGAGCTTTTATGTAGAGAAATCTTCTTCCTCTCATTTTTCATCCATTAGTGATAGTTTTTTTTTTTTTGCCTAATGTGGACCTGATTACACATGGACCTTTTTACTAAAACACACTGCTAGGTTGTGCAAGTTAAAGTATTGTGTCCCCTCAAAACCCTGCATGTGACAGTGTTACACAGTTAACCCGAGGGAATGAAGGATTTCAGGTTATTTGATACACTACATAATCTGTGGTTTTTCATCTTTAAAGACTATGACAAATGTTCACATTGCACCAACTCTCTGAGATGATTGTTTCATCTTGTTACTGCCCCACACTTGGCCTCCACATGTGTTCTTTGAAAAAGAGCCTCCTGGCCTCTTCCACATGCAAAAGCTCCCAGAATCATTTTCATAGACGTTAACCAACATCTCAGTGTTCTCCTGGTTTCTGTGAAGCCCTATCCTTCTCCCTTTGGGGCTTCAAACATAGACCCTCAGCGGCAGGCTTATGCTCTGATCTTATATTCTTATGAATAAAGTGAAAGGCAAAAGGCTAGAATTAATCTCTTCGCTTACAGGGGTTTCACTTTGGCCTATTTTTCTGGTAGCTTTTCATCTCTCTCATGCTGATCTGAGTTTTGTGCCATTGTAGGGAGCAGTGACATTGAGACCTCCCTAAGAAGTACTGTAATGATTTCTCTTCCTCACACTGAGAGAAAAAAAAAGCACTTTAAATGTACACAGAAATGAGACACAAAGGTGCTGATAGGGAATCTTTCCAAAGAAACGTCTTTAATATTATCCCTCTGTGGAGGCTGTAGGCATCAATTGGCAATCATAGTCCTTAATGTTCTATTTTCTGATGATACTTTGCCTTTCTGGCTGTGCACGATGGCAGATGGTAGCATTGTTGAAACAGTAGAGTTGTGTGTAATTTTTTATTATTTTTAATAACAGGAAATTAATTGCCACTACAAGACTGAATACAGAGAGAGACGACAGGAATGAGGAAAGTTAGTGAAGCAGAGAAAAGGTTTCCAGCCAAATCTGAACCCCAAAGCCATGTGGGCAACCAATCATTTTTTGTAATAGCCACAAAACTCTTAAAATTGAATAATTTTCCATACAGAGATTAAACTATTTTTACTGTTTAACTCAACTAACTTGACGGAAAGAATTGGTGGAATTCAATACATTCATCAAAAGAATACAAAATATTGCTGATCACATTGGACCAGTTGGTTTGAATAGATGCAAATTATTATCATTGTGCAATATTGTTATTTTTTAATCTGTTTGAAGGGAATCTACAGGCCAACTTGTGTTCTTACATTTAGCGGCTGTGGCTCAGTGCTAGAGTCGTCGTCTCTCAATCCCCTGCTCCTGCAGCCACATGTCCGATGTGTCCTTGAGTAAGACACTTAACCCTGCTGCTTCGTCAGTAGCTTATGAATGTGTATGAATGTGATGAGTTACTTCTGATGGTCACTTTACACAGCAGCCTCTACCATCAGTGTGTGAATGTGTAGGTGTGACCTGCGGTGTAAAAGAGCTTTGAGTAGTCAGAAGACTAGAAAAGTGCTTCACAAGCTCAGGTCCATTTACCATTTATGTTTAGAAATAACCATTAAAGTTTTTTTTTTATTGTGAAAAAAAAACCCATTAAATTTTTGTACTTGTGACATTTGTATTTCTTTCTTGATGAGGTTTTTGGTTTAAGAAAAAGGTGCCCCCCCCCCCTTGGTGGTGCCTTAATGGTTCATACTGTAGTATAAGGCAGGTTTATGCCAAGCTAAATGTATTTGCTTTATACTATGTAGGATAGTAAATGAATATCATTATGATTTAAATGTATCTTGTAAATGATCAAAATCAATTTGATTTCCCAGCATAATTTCTTTTGTTTGAAAAACACCAGTGTATAAAGTCAACAGTATCTAAAGCTGAAGTGGAAGAGTACAAAGAAGCAGGCTGGTTACACTTACGATAATAAGGATGCTAAAATTCTTCTTAAGTACTGGATTTGAGTAAATTACTTTCAATGTCGGGGTTCATCATTTCTAAAGATCCTTCCACCTTTAGAAGAGCTACATCTTCATCCAGGTTGGCCTCATGACAGCATTAACTTCAGGTTAAAAGAGTTTGAATTCTAAGAGTTTATTACATTCATCAGGGAGGCACATTTAGACCTTCACCTTTAAAGAATCCATCCTTCCCTATAGCACAACGCCTCTTCCTCAACAGTCCCCCCCCCCCCGTCTTATGAAACAACATGGGACAGAGTGATGGAATACTTCGCAATCCTATCATGAGAACCTGACACAGTGAGCCACCCGGGCCCTGGGAGCCCGTCCTGTAGCTGCAGATGGACTGCTCCAGCAGCAGAACACTGGTGAGGCCCACAGAAAGATGAGTCATCAGCGTTTGTTTTGATTTCCAACTCCCACACCGGAGGAGTTTCCTCTCTGTGTGCGTTTGAAGGGTATGGAAATGCGACTGATGTGTAGAGTATGACGTGGAAAGATCGGTGTGTTAACATGTTTGTGCATGAAAGAAAAAAAATGGATGTCTTCTCCGCTCTCAGTGCTAAGCATTCCTCATAAGATCACCCAGTGCTTTCAGGCGCACAACATCGGCAGCTTGCTGATGCATGAAGACACAGAAAATGAATAGGGCTGTTCACTTTTCCTGCAGTACTCTCTTATTTCCTTCTCTTTGTGTTTTTGTATTGGAACAAGAAATCTAAAAATAAAGGTGGAATGTGATATATCAGTATATCAGTGTGTGAGAAGTACAATTTTAGATGAAATTGAATTTACCTGTGGAAATTTCTCGCTGTTAATTTGGACAAAGAGACCCAACAATACAGAGCTCAGTAGTTTTCTGCTGTGTTGTAAGAATCCCCCTGGCTGTGATTTAGTTGATTGAGTGTCTCGGGGTGTTGAGAACCATGTTTACTACCATTCCTTACTGCGTCCCTCGATTTAGTCTCCTGCTGACATGGTAAAGAAGTCGGTGCAGGAAAACACACTTCCCCTGGCTCAGACTGTGTGCTTGTTGTAGTTTCAGCTGCATTAAAGATTAAAGAGCGTGCCTTATTGTGAGAAAACACACACACACACACACTCTCACGTATACACACAGGTTGAGGAAACTCCTCCAGTCCTCTGTTTTTATACACAAAAGAAATGAGCGAGGCCTTCACGGCGTATAGGAATACACGGATGCATGCACTCAGAGGAATGCACATGCTCACTGAAATATATGGTATGTATGAATGTATGCACACTGACACACATGCATAAACACACAAACTCTGGAGCAGCAGCTTTAAGTGGGGCATTGGTAGTCATGGTAACCGGATCGGATCGTGTTGGAGTCACAGCACATGTCATAAGATGGGGAACCATCAACACACATAGATGCCCATTCTACATCCCATATTACGACCCATAACGAGCTGCATACGCATACCGACCTTGCACACACAAACACTCACACATCACACACACACACTCACATCACACACACACACACACACACACACACACACACACACACACACACACACATGCATGCTCTCCCTCCTGTTTTATAGC